TCACAGACGTGAGCCACTGCACCCAGCTCTCTCTCTTTTTTTTGAGACAGAGTTGCAGGAAAACTCACCTTGAGCTCAGATGGGATGGACCTTACACTATTTTCTTTTTAAGATGCAGTCTTGCTCTGTCACCCAGGCTGGAGTGCAGTGGCACGATCTCGGCTCACTGCAACCTCTGTCTCCCAGGTTCAAGCGATTCTCCCGCCTTAGCCTCCTGATTAGCTGAGACTACAGGCGCGTGCCACCACGCCCAGCTAATTTTTGTATTTTAGTAGAGACAGGGTTTCACCATGTTGGCCAGGAGGGTCTCAATCTCTTGACCTCCTGATCCACCCGCCTTGGTCTCCCAAAATGCTGGGATTACAGGTGTGAGCCATCGCACCTGGCCAAACAGCTATTTTTAGAAAAGAAATATTAGATGAAGGAATGAATGTATACAATGGAATACTATACAGCTGTTAAGATGGAATGATTCAACTTTCTATATAGAATCATCACCAAGATATGGCATTGAACAGAAAGAGAAAAGGGCAGAATATATATAGTATGAGTGAGAGTGACTCAGAATGACCCGGAGGGCTTTTGAAAACCCAAACTACTGAATCCCATTCCCAGAGCTTTCGATTGCAGCCTGGAGTCGGGCTCAAGTAGTTAAATGGCAAACAAGTTCTGTGTGATGTGGTACTACATGCCAGGGGGCCACGCTTTGACTGGCATAGTCTCTGGGACCTCACCCAAGAAACTAGAGTTTGTAAAAAGCAAAGTTCTGACAAAAGCTCTGCTGGGTTTTTTTTGTATGTAAGCTGTTTCTCTTAGGAGATAGGTTGGAAGAGGTCTGGAAGGTGACACTAAGGTGACAGTGATGGTGACCTCAGGGGGGAGGTTGGATTTAGGGTATTCAGGGAGGTATGGGGGGACTGGATGGCAGAAGGAAGTGTTTAGGAGGCGTGACTCGGCATCACATTAAGCTCTGCAGCTCCTCAGCTATGTGACCTTGAGTGGGTGACTTTACCTCTCTGGGCTTCAGTTTCCTTATCTATAACTGGGCATCAGAGGATACCATCTCCTAGGGATTACTGTGAGGATTAAATGAGTTTCTTTTGACCCATAATAAATGCCAGTTTGTATGATTACATGAAAGCTATGAATGTCTTACAAGGAAAATAGAAAATGTTTCCACTGTTTAATTAAAAATAAATGTAGGGGTCCAGCACAGTGGCTTATGCCTGTAATCCTAACACTTTGGGAGGCTGAGGCGGGAGGATCATTTGAGGCCAGGAGTTTGAGACCAGCCTGGCCGACATGGTGAAAACCCGTCTTTACTAAAAATACAAAAATTAGCCGGGGTGGTGGTACGTGCCTGTAATCCCAGCTACTTGGGAGGCTGAGACAGGAGAATCGCTTGAACCCAGGAGGTGGACATTGCAGTAAGCCGAGATTGTGCCATTGCACTCCAGCCTAGGCGACAGAGCAAGACTCTATCTCAATAAATAAATAAATAAATAGGCCAGGCACAGTGGCTCACGCCTGTAATCCCAGCATTTTGGGAGGCAGAGGTGGGCGATCACCTGAGGTCAGGAGTTCAAGACCAGCCTAACTAACGTGGAGAAACCCCTTCTCTACTAAAAATATAAAATTAGCTGGGCATGGTGGCGCATGCCTGTACTCCCGGCTACTTGGGAAGCTGAGGCAGGAGAATCATTTGAACCCGGGAGGCGGAGGTTGCGGTGAGCCAAGATCACGCCATTACACTCCAGCCTGAGTAACAAGAATGAAACTCTGTCTCAAGTAAATAAATAAATAAAGGCCAGGTACAGTGGCTCACATCTGTAATCCCAGTGCTTTGAGAGGCTGAGGCAGGAGGATAGCTTGAGCCCAGGAGTTGGAGACCAGCCTGAACAACATAGCAAGACTTCATATCTAAAAGGAAAAAAATTAGCTGAGTGTGGTGACATGACCCTGTAGTCCTAGCTTCTTGGGAGGCTGAGGCAGGAGGATTGCTTGAGGCCAGGAGTTAGAGGCTGCAGTGAGCTATGATTGTGCCACTGCGCTCCAGCCTGAGAGACTGTCTCTAAAAATAAATGAATAAATCAATATATCACTTAAAAATACATAAATAAACAGGAAAGGGTAGACTTTTTGCTGAGTTCTGGGAGTCTAATTCCATTTCTTCCACTACAAGGAAGAGCAGAAATTAGGGAGACAAGACAGGAGATGCCTCCTCCTCCCCAGTGCCTAGACACCCCCCAAAAAATATCTCAAGTCCACACCCCTCTATTTGCAAGTCTGGCCTCATTCCTTCCAGTTGCAAAAGGATGAATCTTTACAAGATTTAGAAAGTCCTTGGCCTGAGTCTGGCTCCCTGCCTCCCCTCCATGCCTGTCATCCTTTCTTTGTAGGCTTAATAAGTGTGTGGTTAGGACCCCTGGAGACCCCTTTGCCCAGATTTCCCTGCCTTTGTTTTCCTCACATGCCCCTCGTCAGTGTCCAATGCCCATTTATCTCTATTAGGAAGTCCTTCTGCAAGTCTACCTTAAGTCCTTCTTGCTGAAAAGATCCTTTCTCCTTCTTGAGAGCAAACAGGACCCTTCCCTCACCCAGGATCCCTGCCTCTCTTCTCTGCAACACCCCTGATCTTTACCTGGTATTCCCATCATTCCTATCAGAAAGTAATCAAGTCTGGTTTCAGTCTTTCTTGCCTTGAAGGAAGTGTATTTCTGGCAGGGGGTGGGGGTGGGGCGGTAAGTCATAAGACAAGGGCTGGAGGATCAGAGGAAGACCTCACCCGCTCTTCAGAGGGACCCAGGAACCCCCAGCACTAGAGAAGTTTATATTTAGCGCTTCTCTGCTCCTCCTCCTCCCCCCGCCTGCCACCGCCTCCTCCCTGATGCTGGGACAAGCTTTGCCTAGAGACTGGGGGGTGGGGGGGACAGGCCTCTCCACTACCGTCTCAAGCCGGGAGGACAGAGGGCTGGGGGGAGGAGGGGACAGAGGGACTGAGGAGAGGGAGACTGAAGGGCAGAGTTGGGGAAGGTGAAGGGTGAGAAGGGGAGAGACAGAGGGCAGAGGGGGAGAGGACACAGCGACCCTATCCTCTTGCCTCGCCTTCTCCTTGTCAGGATGGAAGGCGCCTTCCAAGCCCAGCCAGCTTGGGGTGGGGGGAGCTCTCGAAGGCCCCCACCATCCGTCTCTAACTTTGGGAGGGGGCGGGGCCTCCCACAGCTGTTTCTGTTTCCATAAAAGAATGTGCAGGGGGGTCCCACTCCTGAGAGGGGGAGGGGCTGGGCGTGCAGCCCCGGGAGTCTGGCTTCAGTCTTTCTCCCCAGTCCTCATCTGGGGAGGGGGCAGTCGAGGTCAGCGGCGGGGTGAACCCCCGCCACCGCCACCTCGGCTCAGGTTTCCCGAAACGGGAAGCTCTGGCCACACACAGGCTTAGGGATCGGGATCTGCCGCGGAGCCAGGGCGTGCGGGCTGGGGGGAGGGGAAGAGAGACCGAGCCTGGGACGTCGGGCAAGAAGAGAACGAGGTGCAGACAGGCAGGAAAGGAAGGCCAGGGAGACAGATGCAGAGGGACACAGAGACATAGAGATCTCAGACAGGATGGAGAAAGAGAAGCAGACACAGAAAGTCACCGGGATGTGGCAGGACCGAGAGAGGGAGAGAACCCCCGGACGAGCTCGGGAGACTCAGGGAATGACACAGAAAGGGGAGAGGAATGGAGCCTCCGCGAGTCATTCCGGAGACCTATGTCCATCTTCCACCATGAGAATACCCAGAGTGCAGAAGTATCCTCCAGGCGCTGCCTTGACCTGCCTCCCCTTGGGTCAAGGAGAGCCGGGGCCACGTAGGAAGCAGGGGAAGTGTCACCGAAGGCTCAAGATCCCAGTGGGGGGTCCTCAGGGACTGTGAGCTTCCTCTCAGCAGTGGTCCCTCCCCCGGAGGCCCTGAGATCCCCTCCTCCCACCCCGCCCCCTCCAGAGATCTCCAAGCACACCAGGACTTAGGGAAGATGGAGCCCTGGGAGCCGGGCCCAGAGAAGGGCATGTTTGGAGCCTGGCTGTGTGACCTTGGGTGAGTCGATTGCTCTCTCTGAACCTCAATGTCTCGCTCTGTTAAATGGGGGACTATCACCCCCTGTTTCCCAAGCTGCAAGAAGACAAGGCTTGCAAAGTACCCGGTCCCAGGTTTGACACCTACTTGGCGCCCAGAAGGATTTTCTTTGGGAAAGGGGTGTAAGGGATGGGGCCTGTGTTTCTCATGAGGCCCCAGTGGGGACGATGCAGTTTCCCCCTCCCCCGATTTGGGGGCGGGGAAGCCAGGTCTGGTCCGCCGCCGGAACTCCGGGGTCTCCAGCCCCACCCCCTGTCCTTCTCACTCCCTGCCTACCCGGGTCCCCAACTCCCCCGGGTGTCTGAGCATCCAACCGAGACAGACAGACACAGACGGGGGTGGAGGGACGGATGGACAGGCGGCCCCTTACCAGCTGCTCCTCTAGGGCCGCTGCGGCCCGGCGCGCCGCCGCCGCATCTTCATCCTCATCGGCGTCCTCCTCGTCCTCGGCCTCGGCGCCCCCCATTCCGGGCTGGGCCAGCCGCAGCGCCTGCTGCACGCGGTACTCCTGCCTCTCCCGGAGCCAGTGCAACTCGCAGAGCCCGGCCAGGCTACCCTCCAGCCAGCCCCGCAGCCGGCCCCGTTCGGGGCTCACCGGGAACGAGAAGGCCCGGATCATGGCTGCGGCCCCCCGCCCCAGCCCGGCCGGGCCCCGCGGCCACCCCTCTCCCGGTCCCACCTCCCCGCCCCAGCAGCCTGCCCGCCCGCCCGCTGGCCGGGCTGTCACCGTCTCATCTGCATAGGCGCCCGCCCATTGGGCCGCCCACCCGCGCCTTATCTGCATGGCCACGCCCCCGGCGACCGAGCAACAGCCGCCTATTGGTGGATACCCGCCCTGACGAAGATGCTCGGCCGTGCACCCGCGCCGCCCTACACGACGCATGCTCGCAGCTGCCTACTCACTCCTCTCGCCACGCCCCCTCCGTGCAACTGCCTTGGGGCCCCGGTCACGCCCCCCCACGCGTCACAATGAAACAAGTCCGCCCTTGCTTCAATGCCATTGGTCTGTGCCTGGCCGGTCTTGCAGCAGGTTCCACCCTCTTGCGGGCGAGCTCTGCCTACCATTGGACTGTCCGGCACGAGGGGACGGGTGATCTATAAATAGGGAATGGGTCCACGTGACAGTTTGGCAGCTGCTCCTACCCCTTCACCCCGCCCAGCCTTCAGCTTCTGAGGCTGCGCAGGGGGAGAAAAGGGTTAGAGGGTCGAGCCCTGACTTCGCCTCCTCTTCCAAGAAGCCTTCCCAGACACTCAGCTGTAAAACGAAACGTACGTCCTCCGATAAAATTTTGTTTCTACTTAGGGCTGGCTTCACCAGCTTGGAATCCGCTTAGAAGGGTCTTCGCGCTTGGTTGAATGTTCTGCAGTTGCTGTCTTGAAATTCTTAGTTTTTGAGCAAGAGACCCCTTGTTTTCACTTTGCACTAGGCCAAATATGTAGCCGGCCTTGCCGCTAAAAGTCTAAGATCGATTGCATTCCAAATTCTGGAATTATAAGACCCTGGGTGGAAGATTCTAGTCTTTGACCAGAAGAGAGCGTGAGCAGCTTTTGTCTCCCAGGTGCTGTGAGTTTGTATGCTCATCATTCTTCCATTCCAGGGCCCTTTGTTCTACGTTCTAAGGGGCTTTGTTCTCAGCCTTCTATGATGCTCTATGCTCAACGTTCTCTGGTCCTAGGAGTCTGAGCCTGACATTCGTTTCCAAGGCTTTCTGCTGTGTCCCCAGGCTCCGCGAGCAGCGCTGGGGCACCCTCAGGCGGCCAACCTGTGTCACTACGCCGAGCGTGCCTCCACCAACTTCCAAAACCTAGCTCTAATATTCATACCCATTTCTCAGGCAGACCTTGGCTCCCTAAAAGCCAAGACCCAGAAGCTCATATGAGAAATTCCCTCTTTTATGATTCCCCGTGCACGAAGTGACCTTCTGGTGGTGAGATGGAGAGAAAATGATAGTGCCGATAGACAGCCAAGTCTCCTGGAGCCAGACTTCCTCAGGGTGAGTCACAGATCTGCCACTTTCCAGGTGAACTTGGAAACTTACTTAACCTCTCTGTGCTATCGTTTCTTCATCTGATACGGGATCATAATACTGGCTGCCTCATAGAGTTTTCCTGAGGATTAAATGAAATGTATCTTGTACTTGAAGCAGTGTCTTCTGTGGATCAAGAGCCACAGAAGGGTTTGATAAATACATTTTAAAATAATCTAGAAAGTTTCAGGGGAAAGAAAGTCTTGAAATTTAGCAGAGACAACCTTTGTTCAGTCTTCCTCTTGTTCAGAATAGACTTAGAAAATTAGTTGGGTGTGGTGGTGCTCTCCTGTAGCCATAGCTACTTGGGAGGCTGAGACAAAGGACCACTTGAGCCTGGGAGGGCAGAGGTTGTAGTGAGCCATGATCACGCCACTGCAGTCAGCCTGGGCGACGATATCTTGTCTCAAAAAAAAAGTGGGGGTCCATGTGCAGTGGCTTATGCCTATAATCCCAGCACTTTGGGAGGCTGAGGCATATGGATCACCTGAGATCAGGAGTTCGAGGCCAGCCTTGGCAACATGGTGAAACCTTGTCTCTACTAAAAATACAAAAAGTAGCCAGGCATGCTGGTGCGCACCCATAATCCCAGCTTCTGGGGAGGCTGAGGGAAGAGAATCGCTTGAACCCAGGAGGTGGAGGTTGCAGTGAGCCAAGATCGTGCCACTACACTCCAGCCTGGGAGATAGAGCCAGAATCTGTCTCAAAAGAAAGGTGGGGGGGTGGTAATTTTAGAATGCCCTAATTTTCCAACAATAGGGAGACAGTGAAGGATTGATAAGTGTCTGGGGCGACATCAGTATTCGTTTTCCATCCCTGCTGTATGTACAAGATCAGTTGAGCCATTTGCTTAGAACAATGTTGAATCTGGGGCTGATTTAGGGTTCTGGTCCCCAGGCATTTGAAGATGGATATTCCTAGGAAGATAAGTAGAAAGAGAATAAGAGAGCACAATGAAGGTGCAAGGCCAGAGAGCAGCAGGTGGGAGAGTTCCAAGGAGATGAAGAGACATCCTTGGTTAGTGGAGTCCAAAGAGCTGTAGCAATTTGGAAGATTTCCTTTTTGACTTCTTGAGGTTTTTATTAATGGTGATGCCAGAAGATTTCTGGAGAATCAGCCAGGCGCAGTGGTTCACATCTGTAATCCCAGCACTTTGGGAGGGTAAGGCAGGCAGATCACCTAAGGTCAGGAGTTCAAGACCAGCCTGGCCAACATGGTGAAACCCCATCTCTACTAAAAGTATAAAAATTAGCCAGGCATAATGGCACACACCTGTAATCCCAACTACTTGGGAGGCTGAGGCAGGAAAATCATTTGAACCCGGGAGGCGGAGGTTGCAGTGAGCTGAGATGGCACCACTGCTCTCCAACCTGGGCAACAGTGGGAGGCTGTGTCTCAAAAAAAAAAAAAAAAAAAGAGAATGCAAATGAAAGGCAAAAGTCACTGGGCATGGTGGCTCATGCCTGTAATCCCAGCACTTTGGGAGGCTGAGGTGGGCGGATCACCTGGGGTCGGGAGTTCAAGACCAACCTGGCCAACATGGTGAAACCCCATCTCTACTAAAAATACAAAAAAATTAGCTGGGCATGGTGGCAGGCGCCTGTAATCCCAGCTACTCGGGAGGCTGAGGCAGGAGAATTGCTTGAACCTAGGAGGCAGAGGTTGCAGTGAGCCAAGACCGTGCCATTGCACTCCAGCCTGGGCAACAAGAGTGAGACTCCTCTATCTCAAAAAAGAAAAAAAAAAATAGTGTAGGGTCCATTCCATCTGAGTTCACAGTGAGTCTTCCTGCAATGTCTTCTCCGGAGGACGAAATCCCCTGTTTGGAGAGTATGAAGAGGCTGTGATGGAATATCTGGAGGGAAGGCAGCTTGCACCTGTTAGTGACAAGCATGAATCTACCTAGTCCTTGATCATGTCTGAGAAAGTCTGATTATAGTAGATTAGAGTCCTCAAGGGCCCAGCAGGAGTAGAAGCCTCGTGAGTCTTTGATTATTTCATAAGAAGATTGTTGATATGTGTTCTGGTAGGGAGAGTAATGGCCCCCCAGAGATGTCTTCATCTTTATCTCTGGAACCTGTGACTATAGTACCTTTTATGGAGAAAAGAACTTCTTGTGATCAAGAATCTTGAGATAGGGAGATTTATCTTGGATTATCCTGGTGGATCCAGTATAATCACGAGCTTCCTTATAAGATGGAGGGAGGAACATTAGAATCAGAAAAATATGTAAATACAGAATTAGAGGCCAGGCCAGGCACAGTGGCTCACACCTGTAATTCCAAAGCTTTGGGAGGCTGAGGTGGGAGGATCGCTTGAGGCCAGGACTTTGAGACCAGCCTGGGCAACATAGTGAGACCACATCTCTACAAAAAAATAAAAATAAATAAAATAATTAGCCAGGCATGATGGAGCACATCTGTGGCCCCACTTATTTAGGAGGAGGATCAGGAGCCCACGAATCTGATGCTGCGGTGAGCTGTGATTGTGCCAGTGCCCTCCAGCCTGGGCGACGGAACAAGACCCTGTCTCAAAAAATTAAATCTCTATTGGTTTTTTCCGCCCGTTTCTAAGCCAATAAATCTCTATTTTTTTTTTAATATAAAAATATGGGCCGGGCGCGGTGGCTCAAGCCTGTAATCCCAGCACTTTGGGAGGCCAAGGCGGGTGGATCACGAGGTCAAGAGATCGAGACCATCCTGGTCAACATGGTGAAACCCCGTCTCTACTAAAAATACAAAAACATTAGCTGGGCATGGTGGCGCGTGCCTGTAATCCCAGCTACTCAGGAGGCTGAGGCAGGAGAATTGCCTGAACCCAGGAGGCGGAGGTTGCGGTGAGCCGAGATCGCGCCATTGCACTCCAGCCTGGGTAACAAGAGTGAAACTCCGTCTCAAAAAAAAAAAAATAAATAAATAAATAAAATAAATAAAAAATAAAAATATGGACCGCTTCATGAATTTTCGTGTCATCTTTGCACAGGAGCCGTGCTAATCTTCTCTGTATCGTTCCAATTTTAGTATTTGTGCTGCTGAAGCGAGCACACATCTCTATTGTTTTAAGGCACTACATTCGTGGTGATTTGTTCCGGCAGTGTCTTCATTTGCTAAGGTGGCCATAACAAAGCACTACAGACATAGTTTAAATGCCAGAAATTTGTTTGTTTTGAGACAGGGTCTCGAACTGTCGCCCAGGCTGGAGTGCAGTAGCACAATATTGGCTCACTGCAACCTCCGCCTCCCAGGTTCAAGCAATTCTCCTGCCTCAGCCTCCCGAGTAGCTGAGATTACAGGCACCTGGCACCACACCTGGCTAAAGAGACAGGGTTTCATTATGTTCATCAGGCTGGTCTTGAACTTCTGACCTCATGATCCACTCCCCCACTTGACCTCCCAAAGTGGCTCACACCTGTAATCCCAGCACTTTGGGAGGCCAAGGCAAGCAGATCATTTGAGGTCAGGAGTTTGAGACCAGCCTGGCCAACATGGTGAAACCCCGTCTCTACTAAAAATACAAAAATTAGCCAGGCGTGGTGGCGTGCACCTGTGATCCCAGCTACTCAGGAGGCTGAGGCAGGAGAATCGCTTAAATCTGGGAGGCAGAGGTTGCAGTGAGCTGTGATCACACCACTGCACTGCAGAGCGTGTGGCCCCTGTCTACAAAAACGCTGGCAGGGTGCTCATTAAGGGGAGAGATGGTCATTTCCCCCTGAAGGTTAAGTAGTGCTTATAGACACAGAGGAGAGAGTTGGCTGGAAGTGAGTCACTGGGAGACTGAATCTTAGACTCAAATTCCTTTTGCATGTCAAAGCTAAATAGTGTCAAGTCCAATGTCCGTTTTCTTTACAGTATATACAAGTATCTATGAGATTAGGTTTTGAGGCTCTGCAGTGACCCACGCCTGTAATCTCAGCACTTTGATATGTGGAGGCAGGAGGATCTCTTAAACCCAGATGTTCAAGACCAGCCTAGTCAACATTGTGAGATCTCGTCTCTATAACAAATAAAAAACATGCCCGGGCATGGTGGCTCATGCCTGTAATCCCAGCACTTTGGGAGACTGAGGCAGGCAGATCACTTGAGGTCAGGAGTTTGAGACCAGCCTGGCCAACATGGTGAAACCCTATCTCTACTAAAAATACAAAAATTAGGCATGGTGGCTTGTGCCTGCAATCACAGCTGCTCAAGGAGGCTGAGGTGGGAGGATCACTTGAGCCCAGGAGGTTGAGGCTGCAGTGAGCTGTGATCATGCCACTGCACTCCAGCCTGGGCAACAGAGTGAAACTCCATCTCAAAAAAAATAAATAAATACATTAAAAATTAAAAATTAGGGCCGGGCGCGGTGGCTCAAGCCTGTAATCCCAGCACTTTGGGAGGCCGAGGCGGGTGGATCATGAGGTCAAGAGATCGAGACCATCCTGGTCACCACGGTGAAACCCCGTCTCTACTAAAAATACAAAAAATTAGCTGGGCATGGTGGCGCGTGCCTGTAATCCCAGCTACTCAGGAGGCTGAGGCAGGAGAATTGCCTGAACCCAGGAGGCGGAGGTTGCGGTGAGCCGAGATCGCGCCATTGCACTCCAGCCTGGGTAACAAGAGCGAAACTCCATCTCAAAAAAAAA